ACACTTAACAAAGTACCAGAGCTGAGCCACCAGGTTCTGGTTGAACCGCCTGAGGGACAGACAGGCAGACAGAGAGTCTTACAGACACATAGACAGAGCTTATTATGCTAATGAGACAGCGGGCTTAGAGGACCCACCTCTCAGTGACCGTCGGCAAGATGAAGAACATCCAGAAGTGAATCCCAAAAACCAAAATCACCTGGAAGACTAGTTTCCCCAAAACGGTCTTCCTCAAATACAGAGCCCGGTCTATCACCATGGTGCCTGTAGACGAGACAGACCGATGGATGGTGAGACAGGTAGACAGGTAGACAGGCAGACAGGCAGACAGGCAGACGGGCAGACGGGCAGACAGGCAGACAGGCAGACAGGCAAACAGGCAGACGTACCAAATTGGATCAGAACCATCACCAAGAACGCTTCAGGAACTTGGTCTTCTGAGAGGGAGGAAGTGATGTCAGCAGCCGCAGAGTGTTTCTGTATAATACAGAATAAAAGCAATTACAATAAATAAATATAACACAAGAGAAGTAAATATAATAGAATGAACCAAATAAACAGAAGTTTCCCAGTGAATCGCAAGTGCCAGAAATCAGTAAATCCTCTGAATTTACTCCGAAGGCCCAAAAGCCGAAGACGATGATGATGAAGTCGACGGTGTCGGCGAGGAACATGAGGACGTAAACATCGGTGACGGCGCTGTATTCTGGTTGGATGAGAGCTCTGAAGAAGTGAAGGACGGGACGGTAAAGAGACAAACACCTGAAGCAGAGAGAGTTATTAGCACCTCATGTTGATGTCACATCTTCATCTTTAGAGCATCGAGTTAAATGAGGGGATTCATTAAACATGCCAGATAATAAACATTATTCTTGTACCAGATTTAAATGTTTTCATCTGAGCACAATAACACTAATACGACGAGGGTAACATATCCAAATGTCGACATACAGTAAGTGCATAAGAAGTGTTGGGTTCTTATAGATTTACGTTGTTCCCAAAAGTGACAAATGTTTTTATAGTTATAAGTATTTCTCCTTTCTTGTTATGTTTTGTGGTCCTAATAGAATCCACTGACAATGAGTAATGAACTGGGTTCACATTAATGTCCCTTTGTTTCACCGGACCCTGGTTAGTTGCCAGGTTGCTCTACCTGCTGACGGAGACCTTCTTGGCTCTGATGGAAAGCTCTCGGAGTTTCTCCAGCAGCAGATCCAACCTGCCGGGCCGCTGAGCTCTGGAAGTCTCGCTCCCTGAGAGCAAGAGGATGACGGAGGAAAGGTCAACGGTGCTTCTACGTGAACGAGTGCATTCGTTTACCGCAGCGGTTAATTCATCTTTGAGTCGTGAAGTGCGGTGGACATATTTAATCAAGCAGAGACACAATCCAAAGGGATGGTGAACATGTCCGTTTAAAAAACTCAGGCTTTAGGCTGCGAAGGAAACTTTTATCATCCTCAACTGAAAAGGTCAGGATGAGAGCTGACGAGTCAAAGATCCAACAGAACCACGTTGTCTGCATAAAGACGCTCCCGAGGTCTCCTCACCTCCATCAGGTGGAGGTGGAAGCCTCACCTTGTTGCTTTCAGCTGTCTCTGATTCTACCTGCAGGAGAGCGCTGCTGGGTGGAACTGGAGGTCGTCCGTTTCCGCCCTCGGCGCTGCGTGGTGCGCTCGGTCGGATCGATGTAGGCAAAGCCGTGGAAGGAGTCGGCTCGGTTGCCGTGAGGATGGATGGCGTCGGCCTCCATGGTGATAGTCTGGTCCCAAAGTCCGTGGCACTGATAAACAAGATTATCATTTATATTTAAGATCTTCTTACCTTGAGTGTGGCTCTATGATCTAGATCTTCTTACCTTGAGTGTGGCTCTATGATCTAGATCTTCTTACCTTGAGTGTGGCTCTATGATCTAGATCTTCTTACCTTGAATGTGGCTCTATGATCTAGATCTTCTTACCTTGAGTATGGCTCTGTGGTGGAACAAAGCAAGAAGCTGTAGGAGGTCATACAGGACGTAGCCCTCTTTCTTCTCCACCCCAAGGATGTTTGGAGGGTGAAACGGTTTGGAGCGATCTACCTCCAGCTTCTGGTTGAACGAAAAGAAACCAAACTGGAAGAATACTTGATGACGATGGTGACCTGAGGACAGAGACAGGTAGATGGACAAGTAGACAGATTTAGTGCAAACCACCGACCACCTGTGGACACATGACTGAATGTTTGAAACAAAGTTGTGACAGAACCTCGGTGTAGATGATGGCCGTCATCCAGAAGGTCTTGCTGGGTCGAGGGACGGACAGTGTGGCCCACAAGAAGACCAGAACAGGAAGTACCAAGGTCAGACAGCTGGCCGACACCATGTGGTTCAGCACGATGACCAGGTAGCACACGGTTTCCGACCTGATGCAAGGACTGTGTGAGTATCTTAGCAGCTTTAGAGGGATCTGAGGACTCGCCTGCGGACCAGAGCTCACCTGGCCGCCAGGATATTGTAGAGAGCGTAGCACAGCTGGAGCAGCTGGGGCTGGTCACTGTAGAAACGGTCTGACGCCTCCAGCTCCTGGTCATAGAAGGTCCTGGAAGACAAAGGGAAACTCAGCGTGAACCTCCAGCAGGTGGCGGGCGGAGGATGTCAGCTGGGACTCACCTGCTCCGCAGCAGCTCGCTGGCCGTCAGCTCCTGAGCGCGAGACGCCGCTGGACAGGAAGTGGAGGCCGAGTCGGACAGGATGTCACTCTGGTGAAAGCGCTTCCCGAATCCTTCCTCGGCCTCTTCCTCCACCTGCAGCTCCAGGCCCAGAGCGAGGCTGTAGGAGGGGGGGAGGAGGAGGGAGGAGAGGGGGGTAGGGGAGGAGGCGCTGGTCTGAATCGGCTTTGATTCTTCAGCTCTGTTAAAACAGAAAGCGAAATAATCAGGTGGGAAGCATCTAGAGGAACAATTATCATCATCGTATTCTTCCTCCACACCTCATCTGCTCGTCACCATCGTCCTCTGAAGATGAGGAGGACGATGAAGCTCCAACTCTCTCCATCCGGGTCAGTTTGGGTCGCCGTCTTTGACGGATTCTATTCACCAGGCCTTCTGGGTCATCTTCCAATGATGCTGCTGTTACTCTGTCTGGTTCAAGTCCTGAACATGGTTCACCTGAATCATCTTTGCCTGATTGTTGTTCTGGTAGAGGAAGTGGAGCTCCTCCCGATGGTGGTCTTGATGGATTGGGTTTTTGTGGACTACTCTCATCAGCATCAGAACTCACCGACTCTTCTTCCTCCCATCTTCTCTCTGCCGAGGCCTGCCGCTCGGCCTCATGGGAACTGTCGTTCAGGCCTGACTCTCTGGAGGCTCTCATCATCTGCTCTTGGTAGTAGACGTGGATCGCCTCTCTGGTGGGAACGTTACCCTGAACAAACAAGAAAGAAGCAACGCATCAACACAACTCCTCCCTCTTTGTAGTTCCAACTCGGCTGCCGTCGCTTTGCACCTGCTTGGCCTGCTGCGTCAGCATGCAGCGCTCGATGCGGAGGACGGTGGAGATGTCGATGTGCTCCTGACACAGACCGCTGAGCCAGGCAGTCAGAGAGTCCAGCAGAGCGGACAGCAGAACCCAACAGAACCGCAAGGTGCCGGAGAACCGACGCAGCACAGTGTCTGAAACACACGATTGTAAGAGACAGCTATGCATCATGGGAGCTGTAGTTGTTGAGTCTGAGTGCTTCTGGTACAATTATCACAAAGGACTCCAACCAGGTTCCTCCGCTTTCTCCTCCTCCTCTCCTTCTCCATCCTCCTCAGTGTCCTCTGTCACTTCTATCCCTAAAGCTGCGGGAGAGGTGGAGCAGTTAGTGTATCTTCTTCCTCAATTCCTCTCCCTCCTCTTTTCGTCCTATTCCTCCTTCCTCCTCCTCACCTTCTCTCTTCTCCTCCTTCCTGCTCTTCCAGAGTTTCTCCTGGTTGTTCCGAGCTCTCATTGCTGTTCTGGAATCAGTTATCCAGGCGTGATACACAAACTGCGAGCGAGAGACAGACGGACAGACAGCATCTTCATCACTCTTCATCACTTTCACTCTCTTTTGGTCAAACTTTCTCATTTCTTTGTTGTGTTTCAGATCTTTGTGAGAGCTCACCTGAAAGGCTGATTTCTCGGGTAGCTTTTCTTTCTTCTTCTTCTTCTCGTCCTCGTCCTCCTCCTCGTCCTCCTCACTGTCTGTCTCAAACAGGTAGTAATCACCGCTCCTCACCACTGCGGGCAGACAGACAGGTCAGACCTACAGACGGTAACAGAGTGACTGACAGGTGAGAGAGTGATTGTGTCAGAGGTCATGTGACTCACTGGAGGCGTGGTTTACCCAGGGTCTCCACCACTTCTTCTGGCCCCGCCCCTTCCTCTTCTCCTGATCTACATAACAGACACTCACGTCAAATTGTCTGGCGACTGACAGCCATCACCATGACAACGAATGTACACCTCATGTTGCGTTCACACCAAAAGCAAAGTGAATTCTCGCCATGATTTAATCGCCCAATTAGTTTAATTCATTCATTCATTTGTCTGCATTTGCGTCTCCTTCATCCGCTTCATAGGCGCCGGAAGGGGGCGTGGCTTATCTCTGCAGCTTGTCTCCGTAAAGACAGTTATCGTCCACCATGGCAACAAACACTATGTCAGTCTGTGCTGTGTGTGTCTCCAGTGACTTTCATAAAGTGTATTGAGGCTTTGGCAGCAGTACGGCGGTGATGACGAGCGGAGCATCTCAACGCCGATTGGCTTTCGCTAGACAGCGGCGGGACGAAAAGGCGATTTATTGGCTTTGCTTCCTTCGCGTCCTTCACGCTGAACATTTGCGTACTTCGCAACAACAAACCTTCGGTGCAGAAGCTGCCTTGGGTCAAACTCAACAATTTCTCTTTTCCTTTGCGGAACTTCTTCTGTCGGGATTTTATTCGTTCCATCCTGAAGCACATGGGAGACAAGAAGTGGTTCACCGGCGGACAGGTGTGTCCATCAACATCTGGTCCCAGGTGAAACTTGTCTCAGTGCTTTGACCCTCTGAACTACTTTGCGTGTCTTACTGCCTCTTCAGAAGGTCCATGGAGGTCTTCTCCACCTCTAGCCTCGCTCTGACAGCTTTCACTGTGGACGCCTCAAAGAGCTCCGCACCCCTTTAACGCACACACACACACACACACACATCAACGTGTCACCACATGTCCGTTCCTTAACATCTGTTCAGGTGTGTGATTGTGTACCTGGAGGCCAGCAGTTGTGTATTTTGTAGGTCAAGGACCACACACAGGAAGTACTGACTCCTGAAGACCCGCCTCTGAAGCAACAGGAAACAGAAGCAAACGCCGTCCCAAATGATGCCGGCCTCGTCGCTAGGCAACTCACACTGCTTACTGCTCTGCTGCTCCGCTGCAGGAAGTTATGAGTGGTAAACACCGGGCAGACAGACAGGCAGACAGACAGACAGACAGACAGACAGGCAGGCAGGCAGGCAGACAAGACAGACAGACAGACAGACAGGTGAAGAGTAAACACCTACGTTTGGTGTACCCTTTGATGGTGCAGGCCAGACTGAAGAGCTGAATCAGCCAGCAGTGGTTTGACACCAACGACTTGATGAAACCACAGGCCAGGATCTGACCAGACAGACAGACAGGTGGAGACATTGAGACGGTTTGACTCAGAGAGGGTGAGGATGATGATGATGATGATGATGCATCTTACCGACAGGATGTTCTTCATAGTGATGACGAACACGTTGTAGCCAATTAGGAAATCCCAGTACACCAAGATGGATTTCACTGGTTTCAGCAGCAGATTTCCGCCAACCAACAGGAAGTAGAAACACGCCACCAGGTAACCCATACAGAAGATACTGATCCTGCAACAGGAAGTAGAATCACATCAAGAAGTAACCTATAAAGAAGATACCGATCCTCAAACAGAGAGTAGAAACATGTCACTAGGTAACCTGTACAAAAGACACCAAATACTTGATTGTATTAACATTATTGGTGAATATTCACGTTCAAGTTCAGGTTGCAGTGGCTCCGCCCACTCACCTAGTAGTCCCAGTAATGAAGATGATGGTGAGGACAAACCAAAACATGTAGCTGAAGATGATAAGCTTCATCATGTCCAGGTAAGACCTGCATACAAAGAGGGCAAAGGTCAGACGGACAATGAGACACCAAGAAATAAGGAGAACGGGGCGGGGGGGCTACCTGCACAGCATGAAGTCAGGGCCTGTGTTCAGACGGAGTCGCCTGATTGCATCTGGAACCTGTTCGTCATCCTCGTCCAGCTCACAGTTGTCTCCTGCGAGGATCTGAACCGACGACCGGAGCTCTTCCTCAAACACCTGCAGCTGCAGAGAGGCACCGAGGAGGAGCAAGAAGTCATCTGAAAGATTAGGAAAGAGGAGATAATGAGGGGGAGCAGGAAATCATCTCAGACGGTGGTGATGATGATGATGATGATCCTACAGAGGAGGAAGATTGGGTTTGGAGGTGTCAGGTGATCGGGCAGGAAGAGCCACTTCACCACGTTGGAGTCCATGTTGGAGGACGGAGGTCTCCATGGATAATCTGTGAGTACCAAAAAGAGTTTAAAATTCACCATTTAGCTTAGCTTAGCATGACTTGAAGAACTGAAGCTGTTATCCTAGCTTATAATGTACTACAAAATGTTTAAAATCTGAAAATAATACAGTAATAGGATATTGTATTAGTGGTCCAGACACATCCTCTCTCAGGATAGCTTAGCATAAAAATGTTTTATAAACTTCATTATGAAGTAATAATCCCCACACATTGTTTGTACCTTTGCAGGCGGCCGGAGGGAACCCGATACACAGAATGTACTGGAAACATAGCAGCCCTGAGAGGAAGTAGCAGTACTTGGGCCACACTGAGGCAATGTGCCTCCTGCGCCGCTTTGATAGGACACTGATGAGACCAAAGGCATGGCCTACAGCGAACAGGTCCATCCGCTGGCCAATCACGTTCACAGCCAACAGGAAGCAGGTCTGAGGAAGAGCGTGGGAATATTTTTAAACGTGAAGATGTTAGCTTATTGCTAACCTCGGGGTGTGTCTCACCTCCAGGCCAAACTTGTAGAAGAAGTAGTTGAGGAAGTACTTCACACAGCTTAGCACGCTGTCGTCCAGGTGGCGCCTGGTGATGTCATGAAACAGCGTTTTGGTGGCGGGCGGAACCTCGTTACGTCGGAGTCGGTAGAGCTCCTGGTGTCTGTAAACTGTTACCTCAAAGGCTAACAGCGCTAATATCATCAGGTTATGCTGCAGAAAGAGATTAGCATGCTGTTACGTTATCAGACCCAACTTCATCAGGTTAGACTGGTTAGCACGATGCTATGTGATGAGCATCATCATATAATGTGGAGACTGGTTAGCTAGATGCTAGATCTCACTTCATCAGCGTAGCCTGATGCTAGGCTATCAGAGTTGCTTTGTCACTCCTCACCCTCAGGTAGTCCAGCAGTTTTCCGTCAGTCTTCCGTAGCCCCACCCACTGGGCGGGGTCAACTGCACCGGCGTACAGAACAGAGCGAGACAGGTCGGCGCTGGAGTTACCTGGCTACAGAGAGACAGACAGGTATGGTACCGCTACAGGAGGCTTTCTGGGGGGGTAACAGACAGACAGGTATTTGGCCAGTGTGGATGGATGTTGTTGACATGGTTACCATGGTGCAGTTGGAGGAGTATCTGAAGGGCTGGACAATGTTGAGCTGGTACAACATCTTACAGACAGTCACCACACAGGTCCAAACTGTACAGACTCCTAACAGCAGGGGGCGCCACGCCCTGTAGGGCAGAGCCACGGCCACACACAGCACGAACAGCAGGTTAAACACGCACACCTGCAGAGAGACAGACAGGTTCAACACACACACACCTATAGGGACAGACAGACAGGTTTTACACGCTCACCCATAGAGGTCAAACTGAAAGACAGACAGATCTCACCTCCTTTACACAGACCCAGATGATGTAGCAGGAGACGATCTTAACTATGTGGAGTTCCAGGATCCACCACAGAAGGTGCTGCAGGCGCTGCAAGGAGAGGAGGAGGCGCAAGAACAAAACAGAGAGACGGTCCACCACCAACCTCCAGGAGACCAGCACTGAGGACGAGAGAACAGGAGTGAACTTCCTGTATGGAAGAGTCCCAGGTGTGATGATGTCTATGCAGCTACCTTTGATATGCTCAGACAGGGTTTCCCTCTCAAACACACAGGGGTAGTCCTCCTCCTCTTTTATCCATTTCTCTTCTGTCTCCTCCTCTTCACACTCCCTCTGTCCTCGGCTCTTCTCCGCCTCCAGGAGGAGTTGAGGGGTTTCACACACCGACAGGTCGAACAGGCTGCCGTCGGAGTGGACCAGCCTGCAGAGAGAGACAGGTGAGAAGAAGTATAATAAACTTCATTCAGGTACGTAGCCCAGAACGGGGATTCTTCACAGAGGTCTGAGGACCATCTACAGAGATCTGAGTACCCTTTGAGAGGGTCTGGGGACTATCAAATGTTATTACGGCTTGTCTCCAGCTGTTCTATGACCTCTGACCCGCAAGTAGAGCTGTGTGTTACCTGGTGATGGTGCTGTTGTGCGTGTCCACCACAGTCTTCAGGTCGGTCAGCTGCAGGAATGGCTTGTGGAAGTAATGCAGGTGAACGATGCACACCTGAGGAACATGGTCAGGAGTCAACTTCCACATGACATGTGGCGCACACTGTCTCTGTGGAAATGTGAGAGTACCAAGAGGAACGCAGCAGGGATGAAGATCCTGGTGAAGAGAACGGGAACCGAGAACTTCTCCAAACCAATGTCCTCCAACCTGGACAGGTAATAATGACAGTAAAGACCATGGAGAGAGAAGAGACAGGAGAGACATTAGAGACATTATAGATGGAAGAAATATTACAGACATCAGAGATATGAGGGATATGGACAGAGACAGTACCTGTGGGTACTCATTCGTGTCTTTTAGTACACGTTTGTGTCTTTGAGTACCTGTGTGTACTCGTTTGTGTCCTTGAGTACCTGTGAGTACTTAATCCGGTGTAGTAGCTCCAGGTGTGGAGGGACGAAGGGAACTGGAAGGTGTAGACCAGGATGAGAACCAACATGGAGTAAACCACCACGGCTACCCAGAAACCCCTGAGCATGGCACGCCAACGCTCATAGTTCAACTACAGAGAGAAAGACAGGTAGAGAGACAGATTCAAAGTATGTAAAGGCACAGCTTGATAGAGTCCTGAGTATCTAAACTCTAAATCCCAGTTCTTAGGTTTTTAAGGAGTGGTATCAGCGAGACATACAGCTGCAGTACTTGTAGTACTTGCAGTACTTGCAGTATTACCTGGTAGAGGGCGGCGCAGTAGAGGAACATAACCATGTAGATGACTTTGTAGAGGACGATTTTTCCCTCAAAACTAACAAAGAAGAACATTGTTCCGCAGACATAGATCCAGTATTTGACAAACATCCTGGTAACCACGGCAACAAGGGCCTCCATCTTGACCGCTCCTTCTCCTCCTGTGTGCAGGAGCAGCACCTCCTCGTACGACACCTCCTCCTTCTCCTGCACGTCCTCATCGGCACTCGGCTGCTCCTCTAACGGACGTAAAACAAGAGGGAGACGGACCAGGTAATGAGACATGTGTGCAGTGAGACAGACCAGGTAATGAGACATGTGTGCAGTGAGACAGACCAGGTAATGAGACATGTGTGCAGTGAGACAGACCAGGTAATGAGACATGTGCGCAGTGAGACAGACCAGGTAATGAGACATGTGCGCAGTGAGACAGACCAGGTAATGAGACATGTGCGCAGTGAGACAGACCAGGTAATGAGACATGTGCGCAGTGAGACGGACCAGGTAATGAGACATGTGCGCAGTGAGACAGACCAGGTAATGAGACATGTGCGCAGTGAGACAGACCAGGTAATGAGACATGTGTGCAGTGAGACAGACCAGGTAATGAGACATGTGCGCAGTGAGACAGACCAGGTAATGAGACATGTTTGTAGTGAGACAGATGTCTTACCCAACGTGTGGACGGTGATGTGAGACAGCTGTCTGTCTCTCTGTCTGTCTCTCTTCTCAGTTAGCGCCTGACGCAGCAGCAACCAGAAGGTCAAGAGACACAACAACTGCAACGACAACAACAGTAGTATCAGTACAAGTAGTAGTTGTAGTACATGTAGTAGTAGTAGTAGTAGTAGTACCTTGGAGGCCAGCTCACTGCAGGGATCTTCTTTCCTCGGGAACAGTCCCGGGACTTCTCGGATGGGGGGGAAGCTGTAGACATACTGCAGGAGGACCAGCAGGTTGCCGTAGGCGACCAGCCAGGGCGATGACATCAGCGTGTACCGGCGACGCTCTCGCATCATCCAGAGGACGCACGACCACAGCAGCAGCACACACGTCAGCCAGGACACGTATGTGATTGGCCACGCCATCATGGCAATCAGAGCACAGATGTAACTCTGCTTGAGGAGGAAAGTGAACGCCCTAGACGCAGCACTGACTCCCTCTTCCTCCCTTCTCCTCTCCTCCTCCTCCTCTTCTCTCATCGTTGTCCTCCTCCTCTCCTCTTCATCCTCTCCCTGCTCCTCCTCCGCACGCGTCTCCAACGTGTCTACAGCATCAAACACAGATAAGAACCGCCATCATGAAGGTCACTGTCTGTCCTATGACACCATCATGTCCCCAATGGTACCTGTCTGTCCTGTGGGATACCTGTCTACCTCTCTACAGTATCCTTCAACCCATAAACTCACCTGATTGGCTGAGAGAGTAGTGAGACGCGGCGTAAGCATCCAATTCAAATACTTTGCTCTGGGTAGACGGGGCAAACGCGTCAGAGGGACTGTCATCGGTGGATGATACCTAGAGACGGACCAAGAGACAGAATGGGGACTTTAAACAACAAAATTGAATTCTGTGTATTCATGAAATGATCACAATAATGAATGAAAGCGTAATATGTATTTTTTTGTTTCCGTACGCCTCGGCACTCGGGACGATCGTGAGCTCTCCTCCACGACTCTCTCCGTCCCTCCGCTGTGATGTCACTGCCGACCTCATCGCTCAAGTTGCTGGTGGCAGTTATGATGTCACAGCTCCCGCTGATGGCTGACTCCTCCCTCTCTATGCCCCACCACCCAACGCCATCGATCAGCTGCAGAAACATGTGACACACTTCAGCCAATTAGAGCGTCTTTCCTTCTCACCGTCCCTTCCCGTCCCTTCCTGACTGGCAGGACCATACAGATGTTTATCTCTGCCAACTCCATTTGGAAAGTGATATATATATATATAGTTTTAAACTTGTTTTAAACATGTTTACTGCCATTTCATTGCTTCTTCTGCTCCTTTACGCATTATCTTTGACATGTTTGAAATAGATCTGATATATAAAATGACATCATACTGTAACATTATGACTGTATGACATCATAAGCAGAAGTTCTAACATGCTGTATGATGTCATCCTGTGTTGCGTGACATCACCTGGTTCCTCCACAGAGTGGCCACAGTGTGGTAGAGCAGCATCAGCATCAAAGGACTGGTGAAGTGAAACCAGCTTAGCTCAGAGTTCACCTGCATCCTCCAGGGGGCAGAACAGTTCACGGAGACCAGGGGCAGCAAGCCAAACAGACTGCAGTGGAGACATGCACCATCAGTAGACCATAAACCAATCAATCGATCGACACATTAATGAATCGACCCGTCAATGAAATAAGACTGAGATCTACTGTTGATTTACAGGAACATGTTGTTGTGAAGAAAGTCTGTGTTTGTCTCAACCTGTAATTAAGTCACTTGTCTGACTCCACAGGGTGAGAGGTATGTTTCTTGGCGGTGGTATGTTTACGTGGTGGTGGTGAGTTACCTGGTGGTGGTGTGTTACATGGTGGTGGTGAGTTACCTGGTGGTGGTGTGTTACATGGTGGTGGTGTGTTACATGGTGGTGGTGAGTTACCTGGTGGTGGTTTGTTACATGGTGGTGGTGTGTTACCTGGTGGTGGTTTGCTACATGGTGGTGGTGTGTTACATGATAAAACTGTATTTCCTGATGTAGGTGTGTTGCGTTACATGGTGAAGGTGCGTTACCTGACGGAGGTGCGGTTTGGGGGCCACGCCTCCTGCAAGGAGGGCAGCTGGTAGCAGTAGAGGAGCAGGAAATGGAATGAGGAGTAGAGCAATGACACCACAGACACACACCTGAAGAGAAGGGGCGGGACCCGGCCTGACCACGCCCACCAGGTACACAACACCTGGAAACAGACGAGGTAGGGGAGGGAGGAGAGAGAGGGGAACATGATACCTGGAAAGGGAAGAAGAAGAGAGGGTTCCACTAGTTACCTTCCTGATGGGTTCTACTAGTTATTTTAAAGTACCGTATTTTTCGGACTATAAGGCGCA